AGTAGGTTAGATACAGAGGTGAAGGGAGAGGCTATGTATGGTGATGACCCTATAGTATTAACTGATCTTAAAAGTGAACTAGACTATGTGAAGAATCTTATGGAGAGACGTGAAATAGAAGAAACAACTTTCACCGAAGGAAACGATGGTACAGTGAACATTTCAGGTCCATCAGGAAGCACAACTGTCCCGGAAGTCAACTTTGTGGAAGATCCAAACAATGTACTTCCAGACGTGCTAGAAGCATTCGACGAATCATTTGACGCTAACTGGGACGAAATAAAAGACCGCCTAGAGAAACTAAATAAGATTTCAACGGAAGATAAAAAGAGAGATTTTGAAAACCAGGTGGAGCGTGTTCGACAAGAGTTATTAAGAATAAGGAGGGACTGATACTGGATCCTAGGAATAGATACGTCAGAGAACTCATAAAACGATCATCTGTAAGAACACTCAAGGATGGCACAGAGGTGTTGATATTTAGAAGTGAACAAGGTATTGATAAAAGTGGGATACAAATAATGAAACGTGGTAAGACCAGTAAACCTGTGTAATCCAAGAACTCACCTGCATTAAGAGAATACAAGGACCTTATAAAGAAAATAAAAGAGGTACCTACGAATCCTGACAATATAATTGGAAGTGATGAGGACACTAGAGAAGAGCCGCAATTTGATACCAGTGATGAGGAATACGCTAGCCGTGAAAATATTGAGTTGATAGATATAAGCGCAAAATTAGGGGACCTTCCAGGGCTAACAATGCAAGAAAACAATGAACTAAGAGGTGTTCTTAACCCACCTGATGGATCAAGCATAGAAGGCAGAACAGGTCCCGGTGGAGCGTTGCAAATACAAGCTGACTACTTTAACGAAGCTATTAATGAAACCGTGAAACAAGCCGGCTCAGCGAAGGGTACAACTGAGTACAATGCTCTTATAGAAAGAATTGATAGTCTAAAGGAAGCTAGGGATAGGACACTAGAGCAGAGAGTAGTAGAGGAAGCAAGAGAGGCACAGTTGGAAGATATTTCTAGATTACGTAAATTTATAGACTGGGTAGGAAAGGAAAAAGTGGGACTTGTAGGGATAGCAGTGTCAACAGCTAGTTTAATTACAGCCCTATTAATTCATGCTAGGGGAGCCATTGTGAAGACAGCAAAAGCCACCGGTAAAGTAGCAAAAGCATTAGCAAATTTAGCAAAGAAAGCAGGACCAATTATAGTTCCAATCCTGAACACCATTGCAACAGCGCTATCCTGGGGAGCCAGAGGAATTGCCTGGTTAGCGTCTAATTTATGGGTACTAGCTGTAGCTGCGGCCTTAATAGTATATAATTATTACACAAAGTAAATTAGCTATGGAGGAACACCAAGAGGAATACGATGACCGGAGAATGGAAGAGTTGAGGGAAAAGTATCCAAACTATGAAGAAATGGATATAGAAACTTTAGATAGCGAATTACCGTACCTTGACAAGGATCTTAGGGAAAGTGAAACCACTGAGGAGACCCAGGATATTAACGAGGAAATTAATTACGTACAGGAACTAAGGAGAAGAAAAATGTTAAGTGAAGACCTTACACGAGAGCAATTAGCTGAGAAATTCCCTGACCTATCTAATCTGTCATACGATGATCTAATGGATAGGGGAGACAGACTGTTAAATGAACTAATACTATCCGATTTGGATGAAAACAGTTTCAAAGAAAAGTCGGAAGAACTGAGGTACGTTAGAATGCTATCAAATGATTACCAAAGAGAGTCAAACTTAAATAAACTTCTCAACTTAAGAGACAAAGTGAAAAAGAGGGATCTCATTAAACGGGATGATCGTAGGAGACTGCAGAGGCTCAGGTTATGGGCAAGGGAGAAGGCAGGCATCTTATCAGCTGTTCTAATTTCCTCATCAGCTGTAATCATAGGACTGGTAGCATCAACTAGAAACATATTGTGGAAAGTAGGTGACACAACAGGAAAACTCGATAAGAAGATCAGTGAGTTGGTAAGCCACCAAATAGAACTACCACCTATATTTCAGAAGATAGCCGATGGAGTAGAGTTAGCAGCGGATAATATATGGATAATCATTGTATGTGCAGCAGCAGTTTTATTATACCAGCTACGCTAGTAGCGGCTACGCAGGCTACGCCTAGTACATATACAACTAAACATTACATATTGTATAAAGTATGAATACCACGGAAAGAGAACTCCAGCCTGGCTTCAGGAGGAGCCGCATGACATCTGTAAAAGGACCAAGAACTAGAAGTGTCGTAACTTTTAATCCTACAACTATTAGCCCAGGTGAAGAGCTGTACATTAACATCCCTAAACTAAAGCCTGACTCCTACCTTGTTCCAGGATCACTTGCACTATTATTTGACTTCAAAAATTCCAATACAAAAAGCCACTTTAATAATAACCTGTCTAAGTTGATAGCTAAACGTCTTCAGATTAAAGTGGCTGGTGAAACAGCTTATGACTGTTCGGGAGAGAGTTTGTATGAAATATACAAAGATCTATGGCTAACACTAGGTGATAGAAAGAAGATGACTGAACAGGGTCTTGCAAGTGAGAATCTCAGGAAGTTAATATCAGGTGATGACTCAGGCACTAAGGTTGGTGATGCTAATAAAGTAGCAGATGGACTTATCCACAGTGTGTATGGTTCTAAGTTGAGAAAACCAATTGATAAAATAATTGCAGACCATGGTCTATACACTCCATTTTACATGAACAACAATCCTATGTACATCCTCACACTCCCACAATCAGATGAAATTATGACTGCCCAAGGAGGTGAAGCTAAGGGTAACTATAAGCTTGATAATCTTGAGTTGGAATACGAAACCATAGAAAATGACGCCCTTGCAAGTGAAGTGTCAAGGATGTATTCAACTGGTCGCTCACTGTCCTACAAACACGTCACACTTATGCGCACGAGTAATTGGGACAAGGATCTTACCATTGTGAATGAAAACATAAATATCCCCAGAAAGAGCATGTCAGCAATTGTCCTTCTATTTACCACTACAATAATAAATGATTCTGAACAATATATTTACCCAAATATTGACAAAGTGAACCTAACCATTGAAGGTGTACCTAATGCAGTTTTCTCCCAAGGACTTCCTAAAAATAGGTTCTTCGAGGAGGCAAAACGGTTCTTCTGCCCCATGTGTGAAAAATCTATGGCAGATGAATATATGTCCGTCAGCAGGTTCTTCGATAACGGTTTCGCTCTGGTAATTGATCTAAGGTCAACACAGGATGATACCACTGGTGGAGGAAGGAGAATTGTTAACACACAGTCAGGCGTACTCATGGAAATCAAAAAGAGAGCCACAACTGCTGACGTTCAATGCAATATTTTTATTGTATCAGATGCCCTCCTTAACTTTGCTAATAGAGATTTATCAAGTATTCAATACTAACGGTAAAGCATAGAGATGCAACTCGAACCACCATTCAACATGCTTATAGTAGGAATGACAGGAAGTGGTAAAACTCAGTTCTTACTAAATATGTTAGAAACGGAATACAATAAAGTTTTTGATTACATTGTTATTATATGTCCAACAATAGAATGGAATATGACTTACATTAATTGGGCTTATATTAGTGATCACGGAGTCATACAAATTCCATGTTCGCAAGAAATGATCAATTTAGTTATTAAGGCAGTTTCCACCATATTTCGTGGAACTCAAACTCTCATTATAGTGGATGATTGTGCAGCAAGTCAAGATGTAAAGAAAAGAGTCTCAGAACTGGTGCGCCTAGCTTTCTCCGCAAGACATTACAACTTATCGGTCATTGTGATTACCCAACAACTGTCATCAATTGCAAAACCATTCAGGGAGAACATTTCCAGGTTAGTTACATTTTACAACCCTAGTCGCAGGGATATGAAGGTCATAACAGATGATTACCTAAGTGGTGACCCTCAGGAGACAATTACAGAGATAACACAGGTACTAAAAGATGAGAAGTTCACCGCACTGGATATACTACTTATACACCCTTACACATACACTATCAAACAAAACATCACGTAGAATATAAAAGATGGGATCTGAATCTGACGGGGAGATATCTGCAGCTGTGAGGGAAGTAGAAGAGGCCGCAAAGGCACCGCAAAAGAAAGCTAAGTCTACCGCAAGAAAAACCGCAGATAAGTCGCAAACTGAAAGTAAAAGAGACAAGCTTATAGAGCTATCCAGGGATGGTGTAATAGAGAAGTCCGCAAGTTTCATAAGAAAGTCCAACAAGGATGTTGTGAATAAACTATACCACGAGTATGAAAGTCAAAGGATGTCATGTGCAAGTGACTTCTTATCAACTCTTATTATCTCAAAGTTTGCTTCTGTATTAGGAAGTTTCGGTGCAGTGGAATCTTCAGAGAAACTATCAGAGGAACTACTTAGTGATAAGCTTCTAAAGGATGACGTATCATATCTAACTAGAACGATATCCCCAAACATTCCATTCATAGGTTTAATATCAGGTGGTTGTACAACAGCTAAGCACGTCGTTGCTCACAAGTGGAAAAAGAAGGAGAAGCCTGAGGAGATATCAGAGGAAGCAAAACATATCCTATTACATAGTGAAGAAGAATGTCGCAGTACGACTGGGGAAACGCCTGGGACGGAACAGAATTCGAATCAATAATTGACGAGTTGATTGAGAAAACTGACAGGAACAGGGAACAGCTAGATAAAATTCAGGCAACCCTGGATTCACTAGAGAGCGACCATAATACCCTCAAGAATAAAATAGTAGGTCCACTAAAGTATGAATTCGAAGCTTTTAAAACCGACACAATTAAAACAGTTGTAAAGATATACAAGAATCTAAATGAAATGTAATATTTTATTTGCTGTAGGATGTACATAGTTATAGTAAGCAGGTGGGTAGAGGGAATGCTGCTTCATAAATTAGATTTAAATGGTACATAAAATAGCCATAAAAATTTTTACATATATAGTATAGGGAAAGATGGAAAAACTATTCAGAAACCAGAAGTTGAATGTTAGTGTAAGAACTGTTAAGAGTGGTGAGGACGTACTATTTTACGCAAAAGATGTGGCAGAATCTCTAGGGTACTCAAACACAAGAAAGGCTATCAGAGACCACGTTTGGGAAGAGGATAAGTGCACTCTGGGGTCCATCCAAAGGGGGAACCTGGAGTGCCCCCTTTGGAAGGGTCAGCCCGGTACCATTTTAATAACAGAACAGGGTTTGTACCAATTAATTTTTAGATCAGAGCTTAACACAGCAAAGGAGTTCAGGAGGTGGGTGTTCACTGAGGTCCTCCCATCTATCCGCAGGACGGGCTTATATGAATTACCAGACAGAAGGTCACTTAGGTATAACCAAATGATTCTTATAAATGAAACTGACCTTCATCATACAGTTGTGAGTTACATTAGAGATAACTACCCAGAGGCTGTAATAATACCTGGTCTAGGTGAGTACCAGGATACTGTGTCAAAGAGATGTGACGCTTGGAAGAAGGGATACAAAGGTGGCCAGCCGGATCTTATTATAGAGAATCCTATGGGTAAGTATAAAGGATTTGCCATCGAATTTAAGTCTCCCAAGGGCACCGGAGTTGCAAGCGAGAAGCAGGTAGTATGGCTTGGAAAACTGAGGGAAATAGGATACATGACAATGATATCAGACAACCTAGTGAAAACTTGTATTAGAATTAACGAGTACTTCTCACTTAAGAAAACCGTAAGAAAAGCTGTAGTAAGAACTACCGCAAGTTGCGCGAAGATGTACAGACCGAGGTTTAAGTCAGACAAGTACTAGGTGTAGTGGGAAGTGATTGGATAAACTTAAAAGATGCTCGGTAAACCCTGCCGGGCATTTCCTAAGCAATCCGATCCCACCCCGAAACCTCGGTATTAGTATATGGAGAGAAATCTGATATTAGCGGTAGTTTGCTTAGGTCTTATTTGGATGTATATGAATAAGACTCGTTCTCAAAAGTTATTCGGAAGTGATGATTACAAAAGGAGACGGACAAATCCTTATTTGCAGGAGTTTGTTAAGGATGGTGATGGGAACCATGTGGGAAAGTGATGACGGACATCTTGTTAGGTTTACTTAAATCTACTTAGGGTTTACTTAAAATCTACTTGTGAGATAACTTAAATCTACTTACGGTTTACTTAATTCTACTTAGGGTTTACTTAAAATCTACTTGTGAGATGACTTAAATCTACTTGTGAGATGACTTAAATCTACTTGTGAGATGACTTAAATCTACTTGTGAGATAACTCAGATCTACTTGTAAGATAAAGTTAAACCTAAGGTATCTTACAAGTAGAATGGAAGATAAACCTGAGCAAACTCAAGCAGTAACAAGTGAAAAGAAGAAAGACCCAAAAAGAGTAGCTGCGGGAAAACGGTTAGCTGCAATCAGCAAAATAGCAAAGGAGAGGAAAAAGAAACTTGCAGAACCTGAGGAGTCATCCAGCAATAACATGATCGCATATGTAGGAGTGGTCATCGCATTGATATCCCTTGCTCTAGCATTTAATCAGCATCAGAGGGAAACAGAGAAACCAGAACCTAAGTACATACCTGAAACTGTAGAAGTAACCAGGAAAGCTGATGCGCCTAAGTTAGATTCACTTGAATGATACATTAAACATAATATATATTATAGCAAGATGAGTAAAGAATCAAAGATGACCGCGGAAGTGTACAACGCAGTGTTACTTACAGCAGGAGCAGTTGGTATATCAATGGCATCGAAAAAACTACTAAAAGAACCGTTAGGCACCCCAGAGAATGTAAAAGGAATGGCGAAGCTAGCTGTTTCAGTTAGCCTCTCATCTCTACTAGTCTCTTACCTGAAAGAAAAGAAGTATATACCAGATGATCCATTCAAAACCTAGGTAAAACTATACAATGGCGGGAGCAGTAGCAGGAGGACTATTTAACGCATTCGCATTTGCTGGAGCAGGATACCTATTTAAAATGTTTGACAAGAATGGATACGCTGAGGAAGCCCACAGACACAATATTGCGATGGAGAACCTAACAGCTGAAAGAGAGAAGTACCTTGAAGAAGTCACCGATAGAAGAAACAGACTTGCGCAACTTAAGGCCGAACTAGCTGAGGCGAATAGGGATATTAATTCAACAAATAAGGCATTGGAACTCGTTAGGAGAATCAACGAGCTAACACACAGAGCTATGCCAAGAAAGCCGCAACTAAGTAACCACTACAAACCTAGCTCAGAGATGGAAGAATATATGGCAATATTTGGTTTAATTATGGGTAGGGTGGTTGGAGGGGCAGCTTATTTATTAATTTAATACGGCAATATATTTTTATATATATAATATAGAGAAATGGACTGGCTTGCAATGGTAGACGTTGACGAGGTAATAACCCTTGGTAAAAGGGTAGACACTATAGAGGAGTTGGAGGCCGCGGTTAAAAAATATGTAGAACTGAGAATAATAAGGAGACGTAAAAACAGACAACAAAAACAAGCAGAATATTTTAACACATATAGTATAGGGAATGGACTGGCTGACACTGGTAACACCTGATGAAATGGAAAGAGTCGGTAGGAGAGCAAAAAACATTGAGGAGCTGGAGGCCGCGGTAATGAAATACGTGAGAGGTAAAATGAAGGTTGTACATACATACGAACCGGAATGTGTTGAATGTGGTAGTAAGTCTACTGTAATAATAGATGGAGCAGATGTATGCACACAATGTGGTACAAGTGATAGGAATGGCTTTACATACTATGTTAGTTACAACCACAACAAGGACGACTACCTGAAAAAGAAGTCTTGTCATAACAGAGTCCGTTGGTTTGAGAGACACTTATTAGAGCATGTTGCTTCAGGGGATAGGGATACCATACGGGAGCAGTTTAGAAGCATCGTAAGATGTATACAAAGACTTAGACTGCAACGGGGGCGCAACATAGTTAGATATAAGTTTTACCTACTGAGGATAGCCAGCATGAACAACATCACGTTAAGAAACCCTCCTGAGGACATTAAGACCAAAAGAATTGTGGACATCCTTGAGAATAGGTTATATGGTAAGGTCTTCCCCGAGTTGGGATGGAAACCCGCAAATTGTAAATATTATAATAACTGGAAATTAAAGAATAAATTATAAATTAAATAAAATATAAAATTAGAGAATAAGATATTAAATAAAATAAAATATAAAATTACTAAATTAAATAAAATATAAAATTACTAAATTAAATAAAATATTAAATTAAATAAAATATTAAATTAAATGTTAAATAAATTAATGAATTAAATAGCCCATTAATTAGGGCTATTTTTTTTTACCTATAGTATATAGAGAAAGAGTGAAAAATGGCGAACAACTTTGACATGAACGATATGACCGTTGAACAACTTATGGCACTTAGTGAGATAATCGATGACAGCGACTATGAAGGAAATCTTGAGGATGAAGTGAATAAAATCTCGGAGGATAAGTTCTACCGTGTTGCACCTAAGGACAAGGGAGAGAACATCTTCGCGGAAGAGAAACTATTCATCGATGAAGGCGATAGAGCTACGGATCCCAAAAGGCCAAGAAGACTCCCACTGAACTACAAGGGTAAGAGAGGAATAATGCCAACATGGAAATATTCCGAGAGGCAGAAGGCAAAGGCTTTACTAGTTGAGGAAGCGTATCAGAGCCTACTAAGTAGAGGAGTTGAAGGTCTACCACCAACAATGGGAGGTAGATGGAGAACGGACGATCCTCAGGTAAACGCGGAGATGAAGAGGCTCGAAAACCTTAGAAATCCCAAGCGTTCTAGAGGTAGACCACAAAAGGTCAAGGTTGATGGTGAAGTAACCCCCAAAAGAAGGGGTAGACCACCAAAGGCCGCGGTAGCCGAAACTAAAGAAGTTAAGGTTGCCAAAAGGAGAGGTAGACCACCAAAGGCTAAGGCGGTTGAAACTCGAGAAGTTACGGTTCCCAAGAGAAGAGGTAGACCACCTAAGGCTAGAAGACAGACTGTCGCAGAAAGGTTCGTAAGCCAGGGCCGGATAAAACTCTCGGTTCCTACGAACAGTGTCATAACACAGGTGGGACCAAATAAGTTCACGGTGACAGTGGATCTCAGTAGAAAACCTACAAGGAAAGCTCCTGAGGTGCCAAAAGGTGTGACTCCATGGAAACCTGTTCCCAAGCCTAGAACTGTTCTTCCTAAGGAAATACCTGTTCCTAAACCTAGAATTAAAATTCCTAATGAAAGACCTATTCCTAAGCCAAGGACTAAAAAACCAGTGCCTCCTCCAAAGTTACGAAAGCCTGCAAGGGTGACTAGGGAAGTTGTGGAGCAGCCTGTGGTGGTTACACCTGAGGAACATGAAATCGATCCATTTGGAACATACCTCGATAAGCCATACTACAGGAAAATAGAAACTGCCGCAAATGGAGCAGCTGTGACCTACTCAATAACCCCAAACTATATGGACCCACTGGACCAGATGACAGCAAGTAGGCAGGT